GTCCAAGAAAAGCGGATTTTCTGACCAAGATGTGAAATATGAGTATTTCTTGCGATCGTATTATTGTCAGAAGATAACATCCGTTGGCACTGAAACTTCTAGAATATTTTAAGAACCACGAAGCCTACATATGGAAAAATTTCAGCTCGAAATTTCTGTATTTGCAACAGGATATTGATGTTGGATTTTGGGATTATCAAAATCCAAAAAATCCAAAAAAAATCCCAAAAACCCCAAAAATCCAAAATCCGCCGTTTCCCCCTTGGCGATTAATCGTGAGAGCTTATCGCGATTAATTTACGAATCAGTCTAGGCTTCCCATGAAAAAAAGTTGGAAAAAAGAATTTTTTTTTCAAGACTTTTGATATCTATAGAACGAGTCTTTATGTTTTTTGTTTACGTTCTCTCAGAGCGACTTCCTCCGCTGATATACTCTAGTGCTTACTGAGCACTTCCAACTGGATTTTTATTACCATAGAGCAGATTCAATCAGATGAATTTGTATTTTCGAATCACGCAATATACAATGGTACTACATTTACATATATCCGACATTATTGAACATTCTATTTATATTCAGCAAAACTGTGTTAACCACGAAAATATTACGAGTAAAGCCTAGGAATGTCAGTTTCCTGTTACTTTAAAATATATAAATAAATTTGTTTTTGATAATTTTCATTTAAAAAAATTTCAATGATAATCATTTGTATTTAAAAATAAAAATTATTTTTTATTTAATATATTCGTAAATTAAAATATAAGAATATAATTAACACCACTCAGTCATTTTTCATACGAAAATATATTCCACTCTTTTATTAAGATAGATTTTTTGAAGAATATAAGGAATCCACTGACCATGTCACTTATACAAGTAACTTCAAAAAGAAACCAATAAAAAAAATCACTCAAGAATGAATGTGGATGATAGAAGACTGACTTTCACTCCCAAATTGCATCTCACACCCACAACTATCCTTTTTCAAACACAATCTGAATCAAATCAAGTCTAATTGCACTTGTGTGATTCGTTTTGATCTCTGGTTCTTATTATAAACTGAAACAGATGAGAAATTTATGAATTTCTATCGATGAAAAAAAATTAATTTAATTTATTATGAAGTGAAAATTTATATGAAAAGAAAAAGTTGAGAATAGTCTTCTTTGTTAGTTGATTATACGAATGCCCTTAAATTGGTTGGAATATTTGAAAGAAGCTATTCATGTATAACGATTGAAAACTTTCTTTACGTGGTTATTCGCTCTCTATCCCCTGTTCACCAACTGCCAACAGTTCGGGGTTAATCACTTTTACTATACGTGCCTTAAACGGGTTCTACGATGCAATTATTGGGATGATTTCTTCTTTGCGTCTGCTTTTCATGAACGTTCACTGGATGATTTATGCTATAATTATTGGGAAAAATACCTTAAGGCACTGAGTAATTCACTCGATGGGCGTCTCTTAATAGAACAATCATTGTTAAATGCGCACAGAACTTGATGGCATGAAGGTGATTCAAGTATTCGATGTTTACGAAGATCAAAACGATTCGTACCTCACATAGATGTGTTTGCATTGGCTACAAGATGGATGGTATGGCATGGCACAGGGGACTCAGTGGTATCGTTAGATAGAAAAGAGTATCTATGTTTTGCAGAATTCCCTGAAAGCTTCTAACATTTGGTCCTTTTTTTTTGTTTTTTCTTCTCTTTTTCTTTATACTCATTGTTCTCCTTTCTTTCTTTTTTTTTGTCTCCTTTTTTTTTATATGTAGTGGCTAACGTAGTCTCTTTGTATGCTAGTTACATGTCCCTTTAGGACCGTCAGGGTCAGAGGGTTAAATTATGCATTACAATAAACGATTGAAAACTAATCTTCGATTGCATGGGTATTAAGCAATAAATATTTTCGTTGCAATTAATCAAAGATTTGGAGCAAATTCACTTAAAAAAGGGAATTTTGATCACCAAAAAAAGGAACATTTGATCACCAAACTAATTAGTGCCACATGATTCATAGAAAATTACTGTTTATAATTAACAGATGCTGCATTTCTGGGAGATCAAGTGGTATGTTAAATTAAACGTTACTTAATTGATAATTCATAATTACGTAGTATTAATCTTATTCAATTAATGATCTCATTAACTAAAAGCTTTTATAAGCGATAGTCTTTTATAACGACACACAACATAAAAAGAGATCAGCTAAAGAATGAACCTTAATACACACAGCTCAACCATATGATGAAGTAAGAGATTTCACAAAATCACGACTTTGATGTTTGTCAATATCGGCAATCAGACTTAAATAATCAAACAAAATATTCGTTTAAATGCAGTGAATATAGAAAATATCCATTATATTATTTTGCAATTCAAGTTGTTGTACCTGATAATAATATGCATTGTGTACTAATTATGTCCAGAAATTCACATGAACATGAAGAAAATGAACGTAATCCAACAATAGGGTTATCATTACCAATAGATAAAACCGTATCTAATTATGTTAAATGCGGATTATCATAGTCTCAAATTAAAGCATCGTTAAGTAGAAACTATCCACAACATTAAATTAATCAAGATAAATTACACAATTTAATAATTTAATAGTTTGTGTTGTATAGGTAGAGGTGTTGTTTCGTATACTATCTATTGTTATATTAATAAATTTGGTGATCAAATGTTTTTTTTTGGTGATCAAAGATATTCATGCTCAAAGATTTGTAACACAAGTCAATCATTGTAACAAATTACTTAATTGACTAAGATACAATTTGATTGAACAAGAAGAGATTAACAAGTTTATTCTTTTGTTTACGTAAATCAAGGAACTGATAATTCATGTATCAGAAGATTGTCTTCTAGCATGGTATGAAATTTTAGAATATTTTTTCGGGAAAAATATTTGAAAATTTGCAATTAATTTTGACTAATCACAAAATCTCAAAATAATCGACGATCTAGGACGATACATCTGCGTTATTCACAAAATCAACGACTAATCATAATATATTTACATTAGTCAAAAAATCGATGATTAATCGTGATACATCTGTCTTACTCAGAAAAACGACGATTAAACGCTAACTTTTATGAAAATCACGATAAGTCATCAAAACTTAGGTGATTTTGATGAAATGGGAAGTGCTTGCAAGAAAAATCAAAATTCATGAAAATTTAAAACGTGATATTCTAATATTTTATCGTTGCTTTTTTATTTAGAGAAGATAAAAGCAATCAGTTATGATGCAACTTATTCGCACTTACATTACAAAACAGAATGTTTATTTTTCTCAATGAATGAATCATCTGTAAAACGATATAAAAAGATTGTAGCATGGTTCTTTTTCTCATATATTTGTGTGCATCATTACGATATTATTGCATGAGTCATTGTAAGTATGTACTTCCGTTGTGAATAAAAACTCAACAGAAAAAAATCAACGAAAGAATTAAGTATTACTTCTGCTGACTTTACTGCGTTTTTTTACAACTTTCTAAACAATTAAAGAAATCAAATTTTTTTTTGAAAACTTATGTCTAAAGTTAGCTCCTC